ATATATGACATATATCTGACAAATATATACGATATATATATATTTATATATATATGTTCAATTAGCCCTGCGAATCCATGGTTGTCTTCGTGTGACCGTGTCGAGGAGAATGTGTTACGTGTATTCTCGTGAGACGATGATGATGATGATGATGAGAAATGATGAGAAAATGACGATATCTCTGTGATGAGAATAGCGCGCTACTGTACATCAGTCTTAATATCAGGGCGCACCATTCCCGTGGATGTTACTCTACTACGTCCTCTTCGTTCTTCCTTGGTTCACGAGTGTATCTCGTCAACACCGAACGGGCGCCAACCCTGTGAACGATGAACCAAGGATATCGCGAATCAATTTTCTAATTCTCGTTTTTCTTTGTTATTCGATTAACTGTTTGCTCGTTTACGAATATAGCGCCATGGCAGTTGAAACCGGTGGGTGCGAAGATGGTGAAAAAATGAAGTACACGGTGTCCCGAATATGTATGCTTTTGTATGTATATATCGTGTATATTGTAAATTTGTATTCGTAAGCTTACATCCAACGAAGAGAGAAAGAGAGAGAGAGAGAGAAACGAGAGTTTTGCTTCTTCTTCTTCTTTTTCTTCTTCTTCGTTAAACGTTCGTACATACGGATACGATGTTCGCCGATACGAATATGTCTCTGGTGTCTACGTGTAATGTTTGTATGCGTGTTTACTTGCGAATATGAATGTGTAATGTATCTGTGTGCATGTGTATGTATAAGTGTATGTAGATCAGTGTATGGATGCGTGTGTACGATCGAGTGTGTTCTACAAGTGGGAGGTCGCAGATCTTTCATATATATATAATACAATTAGCATGTAGTATTAAAATCATATACAATTGTTACAATATTTAAATAGTACTTATTACATATATATCATATATCGATAGTTTTCAAAGATTTTAGGTATACATATACAGATATATATATATATTTATATGTATATATATGTATAATCAATTATTTATAGGGTTGCTTAATTGTTTTCCTCTTTCGAATCGTACGCGTTCCCACAGGGAACCCTTTCTTGATTTCACATTTCATTTTATTTCTTGTTTCTTTATATAGATGTTCTCGAGAAACCCTTAAGAATGAGGTGGCGTGTGTCCGGGTACACAGAAAGGGTGAAAGAGAAAGAGGTGATTGTATCTAAAGTACAAATATTAAAGGCTTAAAGGGAGCGCAAAGGGATATACGTAACGCAACGTGGGAACGCCGTTATATTAGTTGCACGATATCTCTGTATATTCCGAATCGAGCCCCGAAATGTTTTTTCGAAGAACCATAATATATAAAACAATAGTTAATTTACCTTTCACTAAGTTCCAAATAATCGATAGATCTTCGTTGTGCCCCTTGTGGCCAACGATTATATAGCTATACAAGAATTTAGGAGAGGACACATTGATAAAATTTAGATTGAATAAGTAAAAACACCTTTTTACCAAATACTGTCATACGTGATTCATTATATACAGGGATATTACAATATAAAAGATGCCCCTTTGATAATATTTTTCAGCGTGCGCGAAACTTCGTAGATACGAATTGTGCAGCGGTGAATTTCGATGGTTTTCATCCAATTCAGTTTCAGAATTTGGAAGTTTACACGCTTCTTTTAGGTTGAGAGAAAAAGAGAGAGAGAGAGAGAGAGAGAGAGAGAGAGAGAGAGAGAGAGAGAGAGAGAGAGAGAGAGAGAGAGAGAGAGAGAGAGAGAGAGAGAGAGAGAGAGAGAGAG